GGCCTAATCCAATCTGACTGGTGTCCGTACAAGAAGAGGACGTGTGGACACACAAGGAGGCATCAGGGCCCGTGCGCACAGGGGAGAGACCATGAGAGGGACAGCCATTTGCCAGCCAGGGAGAAGGGCTTCAGATGAAACCAATCCTGCTGGCACCTTGGTCTTGGACCTCCCGGCCTCAGGACTGTGAGAAATAAATTTCTGTTTATTGTGCCATTTTATTATGGCAACCCCAGCAAAGTGATACAGACCCCAAAGGCAAGTCCATAAGAAAAGAATAGGGGATGGAGATAGGAGAGACACTTGACTTTGAAGAAGTTTCAGGAAAGCTATATGAAAGAAGAGTAGGGATTTAAGATGATTTTAAATGCAGTAAACTACTTGCTGACCCTCCCTGTAGGAGTTCTCTTTACAGAGTCCCTGTCTTTGAGAACAGCAGTCTTGCCCATGAGGCTTGCATTTGCCAGTAGAATGAGCAGAAATGAGCCAGGTAGACTACTTACAAGCAGTGGCCCATCACTGACTTCTTTGTTACAAGATGAGCAGCATCAGGAGAGTAAGGAAACAATGCTCCTTCACCCTGAGTCCTGGGGTGAAGGCAGTGTGGAGCATAACTAGAGCTGATGAGTAGTAAACATTGTTTCACAAGCCAATGAGATTTTGAGGTCTTTACTGCCACATGACTTAGCTTAAGCTTACAGATACAAAATTGTTGAGTGATGTGGCTACTAAGCAAAGCTCACAAGCTAATTTTTTAGTCATCTTAGGTTGTATAAGGAACATTGAATTAACTTATGGGAAACGTGCATCAAGGGGTCAAAAGGCAAGCTGAATTTTCCAGAAAAGGAGAGTATAGGTTAATGGGAGGATTTAAAATTAGGTCATATGAAGGAAAAATGTAAGCAACTGAGGAAATTTCATCGGAAAAAAGAGAAGATAAGGAAGAAAATTCTATAAAAAGTGGACTGTATCCATTCTAGGGAGCTGGGGTAGGGAAGTTCCCAAGGGCTTTTGCTGGAAACATTGGCAAAGGAAATTTTCACTATTTATATTTAAATTCAAATTATATTAAATATTAAATACTTACTAAAAAGGAAGGATTTACTAACCTTTAGAACTATTTCTTAAAGGAATCTCCTTACTAGAGGCGTTTAACCAGACACTGCTGATATCTTGTTAGAAATATTGAGGAGGGGGCAGTCCAGGTGGTTTAGTGGTTTAGCGCCGCCTGCAGCCCAGGGCATGATCCTGGAGTCCCGGGATTGAGTCCCATGTCAGGCTCCCTGCATGGAGCCCTCTTTTCCCTCTGCCTGTGTATCTGCCTCTCTCTCTCTCTCTCTCTCTCTCTCTCTCCCTCTTTCTTTCTCTCTCTGTGTTTCTATGAATAAATAAATAAAATTAAAAAAAAAGAAATATTGAAGAGGGAATTTGTTGGTGGTGGTGATGTGGTGGGAGCCAAGTGTGCAGTGTTGGACCAGACCAGTGGTTTTCAAACATAACAAATCTTATGAGGAACCCTTAATACAATAGTGGTATTTAGTAGTCTAAATTTACTTTATTTAGTTAAATTAATAACATTTAATTTGTATAAAGTCAATCCCTTTAATGGTGAGACTCTACTGATGAACATAAAAAATTGAACTGAGGATATTTACTCACCAGCTGTTATCAAGCAGTCTCTTTGCCACATACTGTTTTTAGTGCTAGGGAAAGCAACATGGTTAGGTCTCTTGCTTCCCTGGAATTTATACCAGGATAGAAGACACAGATTATCAGAAACTAAACCAACAAGAAGGATAATTTTAGATAGTCATAAGTGATCTGAAGAAAAATAATGCAATCGGTGGAGAGTAGCTACCTGGTGTAGTCACAGTAGAGTGAGTGGTCTGGGATGACCTCTCTCAGGAGCTAACCTTTGAGCTGACACCTGAGTGACAAGGAGGGTTCTGAAGAAGAACATTCCAGGCAGTGGGAATGGCAAAAGAAAGACCAACTTGGAAATGAAGGTGTATATGAGTACTAGAGAGATGGGTGTGCTCTGTGATGGCCGAACAAGAAGGAAAGAGAGATGGGCAAGGCACAGACCATGGAGGACCTTACATACCAGTTCTTCTCAAACTGTCCATGGCAAAGAGCTTAAAAAATAATTAAAATTTTCTTTCAGCTCTAGGCCAACATGTAATCAAATGTGACTAGTCTATAGGTTGTGCTACAAGATCATGTCCATGCAAGTTTGACAATTCTCTAAGTAGATCTCCTCTTCAATGAGATGAGTCCGTTGATCATGTGCCTGAACAATGTCGCAATGCCAAATTGCCATGATAGTTTCTAAATGCTGACTCTCCATTTCTCTACTTATTGTATTTATTTTGATGCAGACCAGGATCACATGCTTGTGGATCTGTGGCCTTCACTTTGATTAGTGCATGGAACAGACCTTGGATTTTACTCTAAGTGCACTGGAAAGCATATACAGGGGAGGTGGGAAAAAGAAGAATTGAGGAGCACTAATGGGATTGTGGTGCTGCTCTTCACGAAGACTAATGGAGAAGAAAATTGGGTGGAGAGAAAAAAACTTTACTTTGAAATGTTAAGTGAGACATGTCTAGATCTCCAAGTGAGAGGTCAAGCAGGTAGTTAGATATATAAGTCTGGGGCTCACAGCTGAGGTCAGGACCAGAGTTGTAATTTGGGGGAATCAGATAGCCTGCATTTAAAGCCACAGACTAGATGAGTTATCTAGCAAGTGTTGTTATAAAAGAAAAGTGATCCTAGGACTAGGCCTGGGGGCATTCTGAGAGGTGTTTGTGTCAGTGGCGTCATCTAAGAACTTTGAATCTGATATTTACGGAACCAGGGCATCACAACACAGAATGGAAATACATAGTGGCAAAATGTTGGCATGAACTGGATTAGTAGGTACATATGGAATGATTGAATGGGCTCTGAAAACCCTTCCACTTTGAGATATGGCAATTCTGGTATTACTCAACTTTCATATCCATGAAATAGAGGGTTGAATGGTGGCTACTGAGAAATTATGCCCATACCCTAGAACTTATGAATGTGACTTTATTTGATAAGAGGGTCTTTACAGATGCAATTAACTTAAGAATATGAAGATGAGACCATTCTGGATTATCGAGGTGGGCTCTAAATTTGATGATAAGTGTCCTAATAGGAGACACACAGAGAAGAGAGACAGAAGAGGAGAGGCCATGTGACTATGGCAGAGATTGGAATGATGCTGCTCCCAACCAGGGGAATGGAGCTTCCAGCCACCAGAAGCTGGAAGAGTCAAGAAAGACTCTCTGCTAGAGCCTTCAAAGGGAGGGCAGCCATATTGACACACTGACTTTGAACTTCTGCCCTCAGAACTATGAGAGAAAATATTTCTATTTTAAGTCACTCAGTTTATGGTGATTCTCTAAGGCAGCTCCAGGAAACTAACACACATCCAATTTTTGTAGCTGACTCTATTCCAACATTTCTTTGGGAACTATGCTTTATTCTAACCCCGTGCTTCTCAACTGTGGCTGCACAATACCCACAATACCACGGCTTAGAGAACTTCTAACAAACACTGGCCTGGCCACACCTTCAGAGATTTTGCTTCTCTGGGCTTGGGTATCGGCTGGCATGGGAGTACAGGCAGAGATGAGGACAGCCATTTAACTAAGTCACAACACGAATACCCACCATTTGCTTCAACATGGATGGAACTGGAGAGTATTATGCTGAATGAAATAAGTCAGTCAGAGAAGGATAATCATGATATGGTTTCACTCATATGTGGAATATAAGAAATAGTGAAAGGGATTATAAGGGAAAGGAGGGGAACTGAGAGGGAAAAAATTAGAGAGGAAGACAAACCATGAGAGACTCCTAACTCTGGGAAACAAAGGGTTGCAGAAGGGGAGGTTGGTGGGGGGGATAGGGTGACTGGGTGATGGGCACTGAGGAGGACACTTGATGGGATGAGCACTGGGTATTATATGTTGGCAAATTGAATTTAAATAAAATAAATAAATAAATAAATAAATAAATAAATAAATAAATAATTAAGTCATAACAACTTAATATCATGGGGATGACAGAAGTGCCCGAGAGAGGAGCATCTATATAAACATTTTTTTAACCTTAGGAATTTTCTTTGAAATATTCTGTGTCTTTATGCCTAGATATATTCTTGGAAACCATCTGAAGCAGTGTCACATAGGCTGTCTACACAGATTCTAATGGCACGAAGTCAGTCCTGTTTCCCCCACGAAGGGATAAATGGATGCTCTCACGGTAGCCGTCATTATTGATCGGGACGCTCCCTTCGCTGCCCCAGAAGAACTGGGGGAGGCATTATGTTCTAAACCGAAGCTTGGCAACGCCTAACTTCAACATAAATCAAAAGATGTGACTTGCAAGCCTTTGCTCCCAACTGTCCCACTGCCATCCTTACAACCAGATAATTATAATTTTGAATTTCTGATGGCATGCTACTTTGTGTGATTAATAAACATCTACTGCCTAGATGTGCTGAATAGGAGAATAGTACACGCTTATCTGGAGGGAAGAGGGCCCTTAATTGTGGAACAAAGCAATTCCTTGTACGTCAGCCCTAAATAAATGTTTCTTTATTTCTGAAGTTGTGTGACCTCCTGTCGTGGTCTTTCTAGCACGTCAGGGAGCAGTCAGGAGTGAATCGTGGTTAGCAATGCACGCTTGTCTGTAAAGGCCTTTTAATGACAACGAGGAGCTCACTGCATCTATTGACTCCCCGGGAAGTCTGAGGTCACAAGCTTGGCTGGGGCACATGAGCCCAGATAATGAAGATGGTTTTGCCCTTTTGAAACAAAGCCAGCAACTGTATGCACTTCATTATACACTTTGGGTCATGTGCTAACAATGAGGGTTTCTCTAATACTAATCCCCCTAATGATGGCTTCTCCCAGCCCTTACACAAACCCCACCAGGCCCCGTGGTTTGGCACGCCAGACAGAATAAAGGCAGCACGGTGTTTGGCTTTTGAACTGAGTTCAAGGCAATTAAAGTTATTGGTAAGGAGGGAAGGAGGGGTTTAGAAATACCAGTATAATAAGTAGTATGACTGCAGTACCCTGTAAATTAACTCAATTAGACAAAGCCTGATTTAACGGGGGAAAGATGGTGAGAAGCGCTACCCTCATTAAATCTGGCTGTTAGAGGTGATTATAATGGTATTAAATTTGTTTTAGTTGTTTGAATCACATAAAATAGTCTGTGCGTGTGCACATACACATGTGCACACACGTGGGCTCTGCGATTTTTGTAGGTATTTTTTAAGGAGGAGAGGAATAGAACTGCAAAACAGAACTTTATCAACTCCCCCACCCCCCTAAACCAAAAATCGACTGAATGAAGGCTCAAGAGCTCAAGAGTGGAAGAGGAGGAGAAGGGCAGGATAGGATCAGGGAATGGAAAGCAAGAGGGAGCTCTCCTGCTGATAAAGCCATGAGCCCTCTTGGGTGGGGGCTTGTGTTCTGTTGCCTGGGCGGTGGACTCCTACCTGGAGCCAGGGCACAGTTTCCCCGGGTCTGCATGACTGTGGACAACCTGATGGCCAAGGAGTGCTGCCCGCCGCTGGGTCTGGAGCCAGCCAACATCTGCGGCTCTCAGGAGGGCCGGGGCCAGTGCATGGAGGTGCAAACTGACGCCAGGCCCTGGAGTGGCCCCTATGTCCTGCGGAACCAGGATGACCGAGAAGGGTGGCCAAGGAAATTCTTCCACCGGACCTGCCGATGCACAGGTGAGGGAGGTGGGCAGAGCTCGGCGTGACCTGAGCCAGGTGGGGAGGCCCCCACTGGGCAAAGAGCCCCTTCTCAGGAAGAGATGAGACTCTTAAAATTGTTAGACTAGGCTTTAAATGGCCAACCAAGTTTGTTTTTCACAGGCAGTGAACTGAGTAAGGCTGATGTCTTGGTTATATTTCTCACACCCTCTAGGATATCTAGTTATGGAAACCAAATGAATATAAATAACATGGGCCAAGCCTGGTTATGTGAACTCATGCCAACATGCCATTGGCTTGTTTGTTGGAAGGGGAAGCTAACGAGCTCCAGAGTCAGCTTTGAACCTCAGAGCAAGTCCTTTCAAGATGGATTCAGTGGCCTCCCCTTCTGAAATGGGTTTGCACTTGTAGAAGAGGGGGGTGGGTAGCCTTGGTATCTAGAAGACAGGCAGGCGTCAAAGGCAGGTGTTCCGTGGTCCCAGCCTCAGCCTTTCTAACGTTTTGAACAGGTCTCAGGTAGAGTACATCTCGCTAGTTAAGGTTCTGTCTGGGTTGTCACTCTGCCAAAGTCAGAGGGATGTGGTAGGACAGGGCTTCAGTGAACTGGGGAAGAAGAGTCATAAGATAGCAATGACTTTTCCTGCTCTTACCTCGATTGGATGTGGGCAATTCGAAATTTGCTCAGTGTCCCTCTTTCAGACCTGTCTCTCTTACTACTCATTTCTTTGAAATCTCTGTGCATTTCTTTTTTTTAATTTTTATTTATTATTTATGATAGTCACAGAGAGAGAGAGAGAGAGAGAGGCAGAGACACAGGCAGAGGGAGAAGCAGGCTCCATGCACCGGGAGCCTGACGTGGGATTCGATCCCGGGTCTCCAGGATCGCGCCCTGGGCCAAAGGCAGGCGCCAAACCACCGCACCACCCAGGGATCCCTCTCTGTGCATTTCTTATGCCTCCAGCTCTTCTGAGCCTTCCCAAATCCTCAGTGGAGTCTGTCTGTGTTCAGGAGCCATGCACAGCAGTGATAAACACTCAAAGGCTGGCAGGGCATTTGACACACAGCGCAAGCAACAACTTTAGCAAAGCACTTGGCCACTGTTCTACAGCATCTAGCTGCATAACAAGTTCTCCTTTTAAAATTATTATTATTATTATTATTACTTACATTCACACATGGTAGGGAATACAGATAATTGGGCTATGGAAGGATACAAAAAGGTAAACTAAGGAAAAGTACAAAGGACTTGGATGTTGGTGTAGGAATGATGCTAGTTTTTTTAACTTGTAAAAATTCTGGCTGTATAATCTTTTTGTAGTCATATTGTTAATTCTGTGATTCAAAGGAACCATTAGTTTTGTGTTGGGTATTCATTGTGACAAAAGTATATTGAGCATATTCTATCCATTTTTTTTTCCTAATCTAATTGAGCACTGTCTTCTATAGACAGTATCTCATGGATTCCCATGGCTTTTGTCTGAGAAGCAGCAGGTTTCATATTGCCTGTGTGATCTAAACCACATTATATAGTAACTTCTTTGTCTATGACTCAAAAATTCTTCTAGAACACTTATTTCTGGGCCAATCAATGATAGAGTGCCACAACTTACAATGGTTCCATCTCCATTTATGAAATCCTGGGGCAAAAGATATTAAGAAATCAGATATGACGCTTACCTCTTCTTATCATCATCTGCTTTATATTTCTGACCTGTCTATCAGTTTGTTTTGTTTTGTTTTGTCTTCTAAAGGCGGGGATGGAGAGAATAGAGAATAACAGAATAGAAGGGGTAATTATAATCTCCCTTTCCAGAAGGAAGACCTATAAATATTCTTCCAGAAGTGGCAGGAAGTTAGGGTCACAGTGGCCTTCTTCCTAACATAAAAAGGGATCCTCTGTTCTGAGGAGGATAAACATATACCTAGGAGGCAGTGGGTCAGAAACAGGATTTGTCTTGTGAGTCCAGACTGTTAAGGACATCACATGTCCGTAGGCCAGTCCAAGGAAGCAGAGTTCCCTCGGCGTGTACGGTTTTTTACAGCTGTTATCAAGGGCATGGCTGCTCTTGAGACCAACTACTAGGCTATAGCTCCCCACCCCTCTTCTATGATTTGATCTGTGTAGACTCATTCAGGACCATGGCTCTTTCCATACCAATTCTGGATGGCTCCACTTATGTTGGCTAGCTTGTCTTATTCTTTGAGTCTCAGAGCATCAGACCAAGTCCTAGTGGATGAGCTGGGAACCAATTTATTATAAATAGTAATGATCATTCTGTGATGGGCCACATGTCCCAAAGCAAGACCTAGGACCTTCATTCAGCTTATTCTCCCCCAAAGAGTGAGTTGCTTGCCCTCCAGCAGTAGCTCTTCATGGTTGGGGATGCAGTCTTCAGAATTTAAACCTGACCTTGAACCTCCAAAAGCTCTCCTCTCTGGTATCTTCATAATTTTTTGCAAATAGGGCCCTAGGATTTTTCTAGGACACCCAATATTTATTAAGCAAGAGATATAGGTTAGCTTCTGGAACCCACATTATTGATGACCTAAACTTTGTTAATGCAATGGAAAAACAAACAGACCATTTATCCATCAAGGGACATTTTAAAAAAAAAGAGTTTATTTTTTTATTCATGAGAGACAGAGAGAGAGAGAGAGAGAGAGAGAGAGAGAAGAAGAGAGAGAGAGAGAGAGAGAGAGGCAGAGACTGAGGCAGAGGAAGAAACAGGCTCCATGCAGGGAGCCCAACATGAGACTCGATCTCAGGACTCCAGGATCATGCCTTGGGCCAAAGGCAACGCGCTAAACCGCGAGCCACCCGGGGATCCCCTGTTTTTAATTTTTGAGGAAGCTCTACAGTTTTTTTTTTTCCATAGTGGCTGCACCATTTTGTGTTCCCACCAACAGTGCACAAGGATTCCATTTCTCCACATTTTAGTTAAGTGGTATAATGGATGTATATTAAAAAAAAAAAGGGAAGTCATGTAGTATGTGACAACATGGATGAACGTAAGAGGCATTATACGAAGGAAATAAGTCAGTCACAGAAAGATAAATAGGATATAATCCTACTTATATGAGGTACTCAAATTTATAGAATCAAAGAGTGGAATGGTAGTTACCAGGGGCTGGGGAGTGAGACATAGAGTTAGTAATCAGTACACATAAAGTTTCAGTTAAGCAAGATGATTCAACTCGAGAGCTACTTTAGAACATTGCACCCAGTGTCAACAGTAACATATTGTACCCTTAAAAAATGCCTTAAGGGGGTAGATCTCATGTGAAATGTTTTTACCACAATAAAATAAAATTTAAAAAGCTACTCCATAATCTTCACCAGCTTCAAGCTGGTAAAAGATATAGCCTAACAAAGAGAAATAAAAACAAACTCTGAAGGGGAAAAATCCCCTAAATTATATGCTCGCATCCTCTAGAGAGAATTTCTCTGTTCTCTGGAGGGATAAATTGAAACCAGAAGCTTACAGAACTTAATTGTCAGGAAGAGTCGAATTTCAGGAGACTTTGGCATTGGCTCCTCACCTTATATGTCTCACTTGCCAGCTGGCATTTCTGAGAACATATCAGTTGCAGTTGTTTTTGGGCTTTTGGAAAATGTGCACACTGAATAGTTTTTGAACGGTTGTTGAACTTCTTGTTTGTACAGTGACCAAGTGCCTCAGTTTTTCCAATCTCTGAAATGGGAATGATGATGAACCACACTTGTAAAACCTTTTTGAGCTCTGTAGATGAAAGGCTTTATGTGAGTATAAAGTATTGTTATTAAAATAATAGAATCTCTAATTAAAAGGAATAGCCTATTTAGAGCTCCTTGTAAATTCACTAATCGGTGGTCTTTAAGCATATTTAGTCTAATAGCCTTCTGAGGTGAGCTGATACAGTTCATGTAGGAACATGCACGGTTTGGTTGTTCTCACTTTTTTCCATTTCTAACCCGGTCCTAAGTAGGTTTAGGACTTTGTCTTTTTAAATTTAATTTTTGCCAAGGACATACTCAATGGTAGATAGATTGGTATCTAGGGATCCTTTGGTTTTGTTTCTCACTCCATTTTCCAGTAAGATAATGCAATCTTTTCTAAAAGGCCTGTCTCCTTGTATTTTTTGCTGCTGCTATTGGTAGATTAAGGGAATAAATGAACTGAGCTTAAGTTGATGTAGGGAACCACTAGGGAATCTAAATTAGAGAAATAAACATTTTGAGTGCGGGACTTCCAAGTGAAGACACTTTTCAGTTGTCTGCAGCATTTTAATGAAATCTTTAGGTCACATTTAGAAGCTCAAAATATGAGAGGGGCAGCCCGGGTGGCTCAGTGGTTTAGCACCACCTTCAGCCCAGGGTGTGACCCTGGAGACGTGGAATCGAGTCCCACGTCAGGCTCCCTGCGAGGAGCCTGCTTCTCCCTCTGCTTGTGTCTGTGTTTCTCTTTCTCTTTGTGTCTCTCATGAATAAATAAATAAAATCTTCAAAAAAAAAAAAAAGAGAGGCCTGACTACAGAGCTTTGGGAGAGATGCTGGAAAAGGAATTTTTTACCTTTCTAGGGCACAGGTCAGCTCACATTCAGACAAATGTTTTCTTTCTTTCTTTTAAAAATTTATTGGGGTGTAATTGATATATGATATTATATTATTTTCAGATGCACAATACAGTGACCCGACACTTGTATACACTGTTCAGTGAAAGTTAATACCTAGTGATGTTGACTATATTCCTCATACTGTACGTTACACCCCCATGACTTATTTTGTCACTTGGTGTTTGTTCTTCTTAATCCCCTTCACCCACTTTTGCCTCCTTCCCCACTTCAATTCTTTCTCATTATTCCTTCTACGTTGCTTTTCAGAGGCAAGGATGATTTTGTAAAAAGAAACATCTTTGCTCAACATAATTGTAAGGCAGCTCTGGTCTTCTGAGTCAGAATTAATCATTTTGTCTTTTGTCTTCTGTGGTGTTTGGTTTATTCTTTTGTTTTCACTTTTCCCACAGTTAGACTTGTGTTGGTGGTCCATTGCACATGTGCCCTTCATCTCCTGGATGAAGGCATTGTGCCTTCTTTTCTTCTTCTTCTTCTTCTTCTTCTTCTTCTTCTTCTTCTTCTTCTTCTTCTTCTTCTTCTTCTTTTTTAAAGATTGCATTTATTTATTCATGAGAGACACAGAGAGAAGCAAAGACATAGGAGGAAGGAGAAGCAGGTTCCCTGCGGGGACCCTGATGCTAGACTTGATCCCAGGACCCCAGGATCACTCCTGAGCCAAAGGCAGATACTCAACCATTGAGCCACCCAGGGGTCCCCATTGTGCTTTATTTCTATCTGTATCTTCTAGTAACTAATGCCTTTTATTCAATTATTCATTGATTCATTTATCATCCACCCAACCAATGGTTAGGTAGCCCCAGTTATGCTAGGCCCTTCAGGTATAAAGAGGGGAAAAACATGATTTTTTTAAGGTGTCCACAGTGTAGTCGATGAGGAAGACAGACATGAACATATTTTTTACTATACTGCTTGTAAGTGGCATCTAGTAATAATAATAACACTTAATATAGAACTTACTATGTTCCAGACACTGTTCTAAGTGCTTAATATGTTAATCTACTTGTTTTTCACAAGGACTTTATTAGGTAGCGCTCTCATCCTAATATGAAAGGTTTGGAGAAGTGAAGTTCAAAGTTACAAAGCATGTAACTTCAAGTGGGAACATACCAAGTGGGAACACAGAGAGAGGCATGCTGAGTTTTGACTGGCCTTTAGGTGGCAGGTGTTAATGAATGATCTGTTGAATAAATAAATGAGGGAGATAATTATCTACTGATAATTTTGTTTCCAGCAACCAAAAATCATTGTAGTAAAGGAAGTGAAGGAATATTAAAACTCATGGCATAAGTTATGAATTACTCAATTTCAGCAAAATTTAAAGACAAGTTTTATGAATTTAAATGTAGAAATGTATTGAATTGATTATTATAAAAATTTGGGGGTGCTATTCCTTAGCATTTTGAAGGAGAGACTCACTCTTCTATTGTAAAGCGTGGCTATTTCTTCATCTCCAGTCATCTGGCGGTAGGTAAATAGCTGGAAGCTTGGGCATTTAGTATTCTTTGGATGTAATTTTTTCACTCACTCCTCCAAAATATTGCTGTAAAAGTTGCCAGAGAAGGTGATACATTTTAATCAAAGGTGTTTTGAAACAGATATACAATTTTAGTAGGTTTCCTGGGGGGGGGGGGGGGGAAATAACCCTAGAGCTTGATGTATAGCAGCTGGTACTGTAGTAGTTGTTCAATAAATATTTATAAATAATTTGTACGTAATAGCTTCACTCTAGTAATGTAAATTTTAATGTTTAACCAAAAATATTAAAAAAACATGTTTCAGTCTTGGGACTAGTAGAATTTTTTCCTTTTATAATTTTTTATTTATGTTCTTATATGATGTTACAATATAAAAAACTACAGCTAACTGAGCTATGTGAGGATAAATAGGATATTTTGTATGTTACAAGGAGGGTAGAACCCAAATAAATTACCTTAAGAAAAATTCTTCCTACTCATGATATTTTTAATGACATTTTCTTTAACCATCAAAAAATCTATTGGGTTAGTAGAAAAGGAGGACTGTGTATTTTTGTTTACATAATACAAATGCTAATTGTTTCGTTTCATGCTATACAATTTTCTTTGTCTTTAGAAATTCAAATGATCCTCTCTCTGCTATGGTGTAGCATTTTTTGCTTGCCTCTGCTTTGCTATTTACAGTTTATTAAAATTATTTGCAAGGCCTGCTTTTCCTCTAATCCATAAGGATAGGGAGAAAAAGAAGAAATTTTTATTTTAAGAGAAGAAATATTATGTATATTGGATTACCTACCACATGATTTATACTTTTTTGTTTTTAGTTAATTTTTCAAAAAAAATTACAGCTTTATTGAGATATGGCTATAAATAAAAGTGCATGATTTTTAAAGTGCACATCGTGGTGATTTGGCTTTATGTTTCTTTTATTCATTCAACAAATATTCATTTTGTACAAGGCTAAGCATAGACGTAGGCAGTGGAGAAACTGTCTTCCAGTTGCCTGTATCTGAGACAAGTAGATAATTACTGTTGGTGTGATCAATCTAATGGAAGGGGCATAGGAGGTTCCAGGGAATTCAGGGCAGGAACATCTGACCCTGACATGTAGAGTCAAGGATGACCTTGTAGACCACCCACTGTGAGGCTGCAAGCAGGTGTAGGCAACCCAGGCAAAGAGGAATTTAAGGAGATGAGGGGAAAATGCTGTGGACTGAAGTAAGAGCAAGTAAAGAGGTCTGGAAGGGGGAAGAAGGGGAGGAAGAGGAGGAGGAGAGCAGAATTGGTCTCCACATTAATGCTTTGTGTAACCCTTCTTCTTTTAAAAATTTTTTAAATGTATTTATTCATGAGACACACACACACACACAGAGAGAGAGAGACAGAGAGAGAGAGAGAGAGAGAGAGAGAGGTAGAGGGAGAAGCAGGCTCTCTGTGGGGAGACCGATACGGGACTCAATCCCAGGACCCTGGGATCACAATCTGAGCTAAAGGCAAACGCTCAACCACTGAGCCACCCAGGTGCCCCTTTATGTAGCCCTTCTAATCCCCTGGGAGATAAGCATTGCCATCCCCTTTGGTTTCAACATTTTGTTCCGATCATACTTAAATGTTTATTCTCTAATTGATCACCACCTAAGGGATGAGGTGCTGGTTAAACCAAAAGCAGTAATTAAGACTGAAAAGGGAAAAGTCAAGGACAAGTTGAAAGGATTTCCACTATAGATGCTAATCAGAAAGATGCTTAGTTCACATGACTAGTACTCATTCCCAGGTTGATACAGCAGAGACATTTGTGCTGCGGATGGGGAACCCTGCAGTGATTTGCACTTCTTGATACCATAGTGGCTAATTTACCTTTATGACCTGCTAGTCTCCATCAATTTTGTCTTAACTCTTGTCTCCTTTGTGAAATAAACCAGCTTTTGTAATGTTAGATTTCACCTAAATTCCTGGAAATCAGCTTATTTATTTTGGTTCCACCTTGAGCTTGGTGTTTATTCTCTTCCTTCTCTAAATCAATGGAACCACTCTGTGTTGGCCCTTTGGTGTGTGCCACAGGATAGCAGGGCTCAGCTGCGTGTACACCCAAGAGTGCTGTGCAGCCCGGGGGTGGGGGATGTGGGGAGGACATTGTGTGTGGGGGGTGACATGGAGTGGGCAGGGACACCTGCATGAGCCATGAGAGGAGGGAGATCTGGGAAAGTGGCACGTGGATTGGTTTGCTAGGGCTGCCGTAACGGAGTGCTACACACTGGGTGGCAAAGAGAAACTCATTGTCCCACAGTTCTGGAGGACTGAGGTTCCAGATAGAGGTGCAGGGTTAGATTCTTCTGGGGCTTCCCTCCTGCTTTGTCCAAATTTCCTCTTCTTATAAGGACATCAGTTGTATTGGATTCGGGGCCACCTAATGACCTCATTTTTAACTTTATTAAGCCTTTGAAGACCCTAGCTCCAGATATAGTCATATACTGAGGAACTAGGGGTTAGAACTTCAATGTACAAATTTTGAAGGGACACAGTGACATGGTCCACCCATAACAGCATGTGAAACCTTTCATCCTCCTTCTTTTTAGGATTTTATTTATTTGAGAGAGAAAGAGAGATAGAGAGGGAGCATGAGAGAGGATGAGAGGATGGGGGGAGGAGGGAGGAGGAGGGACAGAGCAGAGGGAGAAGCAGGCTCTTCACTGAGCAGGAAGCCCCACATGGGGCTCTATTCCAGGACTCTGGGATCATGTCTTGAGCCCAAGGCAGGGGCTTAACTGACTGAGTCACCAGGGTGCCCCTCTTTGCTGGGAGTATTTCTAAGGAACTCCAGTACTCAGTTCACTTGAAGATGCAACCATTTCAAGAGAAGAGTAAAGGAAGGAAATTGGCTTTCTTTGCCCTCTTGTAAACACCTTCATCTTCTCTTTTCTTTCCCAGAGCACAAATTCAGAAATTTCTTCCAACTACATAAACTGACTCCCTCTTCCATCTCTCCTTTTTTTTCTTTTAAAAATAAACTAGGACATTATGGTGGCTACAACTGTGGAGTTTGCAAGTTTGGCTGGACCGGCCATGACTGCAATCAGAGGAAAGCTCGGGTTATTCGGAAGAATATCCATTCCTTGACTCCTGAGGAGAGGGAGCAATTCTTGGAGGCCTTAGACCTTGCAAAGAACACGACACACCCGGACTACGTGATCACCACACAACACTGGCTCGGCCTGCTTGGGCCCAACGGGACCCAGCCACAGATCGCCAACTGCAGCATTTATGATTTCTTTGTATGGCTCCATTATTACTCTGTTAGGGATACTTTATTAGGTAGGTTTTTTCCTTAGCCGAGGGTATATTATTATCATTTGGGGCTGCGGGGGAATGGGTGGGGAAGTAATTTCAGGCAGGTTAATTAACAAGAGAGCAACCTCAGGGAGGGTTAGGCTTATGAAAGTCATAGGATGATCAAATGCTGCCTGAAGCTACAATGAAACACTTTCTACCAGTATGTTGGCTGACACTTGGGAAAATGTTTTCTCCTGTAGTTTGTGTTTTGGGTTCAAAGTCTAAACTCTCCTTTATGAAGCTGTTAATCCTCAAAGGCAAGAGTTGGTGAAGCAGAGGCAAATTCCTTTTGATTCTAGAAAAAAACATGTCAAAATCTGGCCACAGAAGCCTTCTCTGACATTAGTCCTCAGATTAGAGGAATTAACTGGACATGCGCTAAAGCACATGAAGCTTCTTTGAGCAGAATTAGAGTGTTTGTGTAGAAAGTGCATTTTATTAAACTCATGTGTGTTGGTCTTTAGACTTTTGAGGCATTTATGGTGTCCATAATATGGTGCATCGCTGCTAGGATCCTCGGGTTCTTTTGGAGTTGTATTGTCAAGGAAGAGCATAAACTACTCCAGCATTGGAGAGGCAATGTAGAGTTCCTCCTGAATTAGCCCCTTGGACTGTTAGAGGGGATACTCAGGAGCATGGTACCCTGCCTTTCTAGATCCTAGAAATTGGGGGCCTGTGTAAGACTTGGAATGGGGGGAATGTTTGTTAGGAACTTCATTAATCTAGTAGGACCAGTTATGCCCTCAGATATTTCTTAGTCAGTGGATGCCACAGATGCTGCTTCACTCCAGGGAGATGTGAATCCATTCCTGGTTCTGCTTGGTGCAGTTCTTTTTTTCTTAAATTTTAAAAAGATTTTATTTATTTATTCATGAGAGACACACACAGAGAGGCAGAGACATAGGCAGAGGGAGAAGCAGGCTCCCCATGGGCAGCCTGATGGGGGACGATCCCAGGACTGCAGGATCATGACCTGAGCCAAAGTTAGACATTCAACCACTGAGCCACCAAGGCGTACCTTCCTTTTTCTTTCTTTCTTTTTTCTTTTTTCTTTCTTTCTTTCTTTCTTTCTTTCTTTCTTTCTTTCTTTCTTTCTTTCTTTCTTTCTCTTTTCTTGGTGCAGTTCTGAAGCTTTGGCTGTACCTATTATCTCCACCTTTGGGGCCCCTTGTTGGGGTCAGGGTGAGTTGAGGCATCAAGCTCCCTTTGAATAGTCAGATTCTCACTAGAATTGTCGTCCTTGAATTTATCACTGGTTCCCCGTCGCTTGATGTCACCTCATTAGTTTGTTTTGGAATATTAAGCTTTGTTCTGAATTAAAACATTTAAAAAGGACAGACTACATAGCCATGAGCAGCAATAGCATTTCTTTCCTCAGTGTGAGTCCTTTAAAATCTTGCTTCTCAGGTAAGCATCTGTCTTTCTTTATCAATAGATAAGGAGGCTCTTCTGGCTATAAACCTTTATAGCTTTCCTGTCATCACTTGGAGAAATTTTTGTTTTATGAGAGGATAGTATCTCAAGAGAGAAAGAAGACTATAGTTTCTGGTCAAACCTAGGAATTAAATTTATATTCGTGTCTGTTCAGCTCTCTGAAGTTATTATAGGTACTTTGAAAAAGAACTAAAGTTAGCCAAAGTTTCTACATAACCATCAAAAGTTGTTATGAAGGCGGAAGAAGGATGGAACAGGCAGTAAGGGGGTCATTAAATTGCCCAAAGCTTTTCACTAAAACTGGCAGTTCCAGTGGCCAGCCAAATTGGTTTGAATATATTTTTCTCTCTTCTAGTCTTGGCGACCATGCTTGTCAGCTAGTGGTTGTAACTGATTGATGGCTGAGGCAAAATCCATAGAAGTTCTTTTTGGTGACATAAATGCCTGAATTAGGATGAAATGTAGTTGAAGTTGCTTTATTACTAATTAATCCCTCTCTTATAAATGTGTGCATTTGTAAGGAATAAGTTAGAAAATGTCTTTGGAAATATATTTCACTGAGGTCTTGAAGATCGAATCCTTCGGATATGCTTATTTCATCTTGCTGTTACTTAAAAAATTAAATATTTGGCAGGCACTCTCAAAGCTAAAAGTGACCTGAATGTTTCTAGATCTCTGTTGACAATCAGACTTTTGAGAGATGGAGAATTTATTCTAAAAGTGTTAGTTTCTTCTGAAATTGTTTTATTGTTGTTGTTGCTTTCAGAGAGATAAAAAAAAAAACAATTTTTTTTTTCAATTAAAACAGCATGGACTTATTGGCTCTGCAGGCACATCCCACTGGCATAAGGTTTCACATTTAAAATTCCATGATCTTTAATATGTTTCCCAACTGTTTTAGGACCAGGGCGTCCATACAAGGCCATTGACTTCTCACACCAAGGTCCTGCCTTTGTTACCTGGCACCGGTACCATTTGTTGTGGCTGGAAAGGGATCTCCAGGTTGGTCAAATCTAAGCATTTGGTATTTTTAATTTTGCATTTGGTCAAGACCCATGTTAGTGTTTGCTTTATATGCTTTCTTATTGCATTTGATATTATGAGTTAAATAACTGGCTGTGCATTTTGCTTTTAGCAACTTATCGGCAACGAATCCTTTGCTTTGCCCTACTGGAACTTTGCTACTGGGAGGAATGATTGTGATGTGTGCACAGACCAGCTTCTTGGGGCAGCGAGACAAGATGATCCAACTCTAATTAGTGAGAACTCAAGATTCTCCAACTGGGAAATTGTCTGTGATAGGTAAAGTCACATGTACCTGCAATAAAAATCCAGAGACCACATTTTCTTATGCATGAGAGATGGAGAGGCACTTTATATTTCAGTTTCGAATGCATGCTGGGTTCTTTTTACATGTTTCCGAAAATGATTTTCCTGAGGGAAGTGGGATTTAAAAGAAATTCTAAGCCCTTTTATTCAAAAAAATTGAGGCATAGAAATCACACTTGTGAATTGAATGTGCTTGGTTATCATTTCTAGATCAACTGTTTTAAAATTAGAAGTAGTTTCTGCATTCAGCCAAACATTTCTTAAGTACTGATCATATTCCAAGCAGTGTAATTCTTTTTTTTTTCTCAAGCAGTGTAATCGTATGACAATACAAGGATGAGTAAAATCGAGCTTCCCTTTTGCATATTGTTTTATATTTACCAAGGCAGATTGCTTGTAAACAAATTACAGTACAGTGTGAAAAGTATCATGATTGATGTAAGTGCAAAGCTAGGAAGAGAGGGAAAGTCTCTAAGACGTAGAGGCACAGACCTCAAGCAGACGTAGGGGAGTGTGGTAAGTCTGTCCTAGGTAGAGGGAACATCCTGTCTAAAGCTGGAAAAGTCTCTGGTAACACCCTGGGATGGCTGGACCATAAGGCGAGAGTGAGCGGAAAGGGACAGGGGATGGAGCAGGGCAGAATGATCTCTGAAGTATTGAAGAACACATCATAAGCAAATTGAGAAACCTGCAGCCCATGGAAAATCCTGTCCTCAGTGATACCTTACATTTGTTTTTTTTCTTGGCACACATCTCAGAAAAAGATTCCCCAAGAGGCTACTCTGCCTTCCTTTATTTATCTGTTTCCTCCAAATCCTCTGGTTTTTAACCCTATTGCTACCTAGCTCCCCTGCCCTGTGTCTTTCTCCTGCTCCATGACACCGAGCTTCTTTGTCAACGCCTTCCTTCAGTCTGGGCATATGCATGTTTGCAGGGGTGTAGGCCAACCTAGCAGGGACCCCCTCTCCTACATCCTAAGCTTTTCCTACAGCCTGCTGGATAATGCTCCACAACATGTAGGGATGTAATAAGTGCTCTTTAATGTGGTGGTGTAATTCCATAAAGCACCATTTCTCATAGTGCCTTGGGGTATTTAAAAGTAGGTGGTATGCAAAGAGAGATTCCTATGATCAAATTTAGGGAATATTGAGTTAAAAAGTTTTTAAATTTGAAACTATCTCAGAACTTTTCCTCTGGAAGTCTATTATTAGAGGTTGCCTAAACTTACCTGACTCTGGCACCTTTAATTCACAGACCATGTCACTGGCACATGTTTAAGAAATGCTGCCTTCGAGGCCTTTTTTTGCCTTATTGTTAGGGACTGGCCTCTTTCATTCTCACATGTGCGCTGATTCTATTCTCACATACCCATGACTAACCCCATTAAAACACACACAGAGGGGCACCTGGGTGGCTCAGTGGTTGAGTGTCTGCCTTTGGCTTAGGTCGTGATCCCAGGGTCCTGGGATTGAGTTCTGCATCAGGCTCCCTGCGAGGAGCTTGCTTTTTTGTCTGCCTATGTCTCTGCCTCTCTGTGTGTATCTGTCATGAATAAATAAAATCTTAAAACACACACACACACACACACACACACAAAGAAACATCTTCAATATTTTATATCCCACAACAAAGTAATGCTCTTCTGGTAGAATTCCAGACCCTAGCAGGTATACTCTTTAATGGGTGTGGAACCTTTTTGGCTTCCTTGTTTACCCCATATTCATCCCCATTGCCCTGGAACATTTTCTGACACAGCGTTTCTCTTGACATTTGTCCTCTACCTAGTTTCATCTGCTTTTTAGTCTTGCACCTTTGTTTGCCTTCATTTTGCCTAAAATGTTCTCCTAGCTTTACACAGACACTTCTGCCAAAACTGGCTTAGCTCCGTATAAAACAGGTCACTCTGCTCAGTTACTTAACTTCAGTTACTCAACAACATTCAAAGGCACCTCCTAGGAGTCAGCATCTTGCTCTGGAGATCTTCTTACTTTCCAGTAAAATGGCACTTTGTCTTCATAGTTATGCATATATTCATATTTTGTGCATCTGGGTTTTTGAAACTTCTTAATCCATAATTACTTTTGGAGGTAGTACTTTTACCATGTATTTTTGACCTTCTTAAGGTAACTCTAATAAGATTTAATCACAACTAAGATCTTGATTGGTTTGGTTGGCCCAAAGTTATGATACTATTCACAAATTAAAACTTATTATTTTTACTCTCCTTACAACCCATAGCCTAGATGATTATAACCGCCGGGTCACCCTGTGTAATGGGACCTATGAAGGCCTGTTAAGAAGAAATCAAGTGGGACTAAACAGTGAGAAATTGCCAACTTTAAAAGACATACAAGACTGTCTGTCTCTCAAGAAGTTTGACAGCCCCCCTTTCTTCCAGAACTCTACCTTCAGCTTCAGGTTGGTGCTCTAAGCTCTGTTAGATTGGCATTTTAAAAATACTTTTAAGATTTTCATGCTACTGGTTGTAATGAACTGGAAGGAAATCCAGTTGTTGGGAGCCATGTACAAAGCTAAGTAAGCAGAAGGCCTTGACATGTGAGGACAAGGAACCAGTGTTAGGAAAGTCATCATCCACCCACTACAATGAATAGTGTAGTTTTAATTTTTTCTAACTTAGCTATTCAAACCCATCATTTATATTTCTAATTTCACATATATAGGTACAGTCTTCAGAACCAGGGTACTTCACTAAATATAGTATTTAAAAAATATTTGCTCATGCTCTTTTTCTTTTCTTTTAAATTTATCAGCCATAGACCTAAGATTGAAATCTGAGATCTCAGAGGAGTATTGTAAGCCAAATGCAACTCAAGTTACAGCACAGCAATGACATTACAATACTTGAAATTTAAAGGCCAACTAATAATTCTTTCCCTGTAAAAAGACTTTAAGAATTGTGAGAAATAAGTATGGATATAAATAAGATTTTAAGCAAAGATGAATGGGGCTCCCAAAAGGCATGGTGAATAGATTCATGGTCTTCCCCCAAACCAAATTCTCTCTCTCCTAACTGTGTGTGAATTATACAGCTGATGGGTTATATGGGGCTGGGGTGGGACAAACTGAAAAATGCAAAGGTTGTGCTAAGTGCAGCAGAGCTCACAGTCTGTGTGGGGGTTGGACATGGCTCTCAGAGTAGTGTCAAAGGTCATATAAAGGCTGACATTTAAGATTGTTTGGAAATGCATTCGTTTTTCACAGTAGTAAAAATGCTATTGAAATGGAGTGCAATCTTTATAGATTTGAGTTAAGGGAGTGATTATCAAAATACGGTGCCTAGACCACCATAAATGGCATCGCTTGGGAGCTAGTTAGAAATATAAATATGAAGACCCAGCTCACACCTACTGAATCAGGAATTCTGAAAGAGGGGCATGAAATATGTGTTTTTTTCCCAGTGATTCCCATATATGCTTAAATTTGAGGATCACTGAGTTAGGATAAGGACAATTTGAATTTCCTGAAAATGAGGAGGAGAAAAAGACAAGGATAGGAGGAATTTGGTTGAGCTGAATTTAAAATGCTGAATATATTATAGTCAAGCTAGAGGTTTACTTAGTTGAAAAATGGGACTAAGATTATGTTAATTCAAAAAATATTTCTGATCGCAGAGCCTATGCTGGGCATGGTACTGAGCTCTGGCAATGAAAATCTGAAAAAAAAAAAAAACAGTCTGTGTGCTCTAGGAGATCATAGTCTGGCACAGGAGAAAGATATGAAGAATTGTCATACAGTACATAAAAGAGGTTTAATCCAACTGAGCAGGTGCAAAAGTAGCATTGATTAAGAGGTCCCGCCCCGTATAGAAGATCATCATTAAAAGTTGGGGTTAATTTGTAGTTAATTAGCTATGACAGAGCTGCCCATTTCCCTATCCCATATCAAGTTAGAAGACTATTATTTAGGTTAGAAACAATAAAAAGAGACCTTTGTCAATTGTAACTGTTGTCATTGACAAACTGATTTTCTCTCAGGAATGCCCTGGAAGGATTTGATAAAGCAAATGGAATCCTGGACTCTCAAGTGATGAGCCTACACAACTTGGTTCATTCCTTCTTGAATGGGACAAGCGCTTTGCCACATTCTGCTGCCAATGATCCTGTTTTTGTGGTATGTTCAAAGGCTCAGAATAGATGAAAAATTTTCTACATTTGATGTTGGATTTATTTGCTTTTCAGTAAGATTAACGTTTGGTGTGTGTTTTATTCTCTTTGTGAACAAAGGGACGTATTCATATGTAAATTTATTTATTCTCCACCCTAGAGGTGGTTAGATAGTATTTAAACTCCCCTTTTCACACACCCATGCTTTAGAGATGGTTAGTTTTGGAATGACACCAGACAGGAGTTTATAGTTGAGAGGTGGATTCATAAGTTAGCATAATGATATTATATCACAATTTAGCATAATTTATATAACAAGTTAGTATAATGACAATAATTTTTCAGTGATAAAATGAGTGATGCTGAAGATGAGTGTAGAACCACCACGACTCTTGCACGAAGCCCAGCCATCTGGCACCTTTGGAGCAGCACACGAAGTCCACAGCTCTGTTTGGTGTTTGGCCCTGGCCCCCTCACTTCACAAAGCATTATGCCTAAAAATGAGCTACTCCTGGGGTCATAATATCATTGTGTACTAGTTTGGACTGAATCTTCCATGTAAGACACTTGTCAGAAGAGAGTGTGAACCTCCCTGGGTGTATAAGAAGAGGTTCTTTTACTCATTCGGTGTCTACTTGTTGATCAATGTAGGTTTACCAGAATCTGCTCTTGCTTTCATGATTATATGTCACCTAGTAACAAGTTTATTTGAGATGGTGAGGACTATGGCAATACCCACCCACTATGAACACTCGGTCGTGCTGAACAGAAAAATTGATTTGGGTCAGTTTGCAAAGTTGCAGGTATATTCAGCCATTTTTTTGCTTGCAAATGAACAGATTCTACTCAAACTAATTTAGGAGAAAAATTAATTTATTGACTTAAATAACTGGGAAACTGAGGAGTGCTGCTGGTTTCAGGTATTGCTGAATCCGTGGGCTCAAATGATGTCAGTTCTGTCCCTGTCTTCATAAGCAACCTCTTCCCACGTGGAATTGAGCTAGCCAGGAACCTGCATGCTACCAGCTTAGCAAGTGGGGGAGCAGCTATGTTACCATAGTAACGGAGAACAGTCTCAGGATTGGCCAGGCCTGGATGATTTGCCTTCTGTGAACCAGTGTGGCAAGGGGAATGAGGTATTCTCATTGGCCAGAGCAAGGTCACATGTTCATCCCCTCTGTCGGGGCAGGTGTGTGAACCCCCACACACTCCACTCTAGGGAGCTCCCTGCAGGAAAGGAAGTTTGTGTTAGTCAGCAGAGGGGTGGAGAGTGAGGAAGGAGGGCTGGATAGAAAAAATGACACATGCCTTTAGTTAATATAAAAACCACATTTGGTGTTTCTTAATTAAAAAAAAAAAAAAGAGGGATCCCTGGGTGGCTCAGTGGTTTAGTGCCTGCCTTCCGCCCGGGGTGTGATCCTGGAGACCCCGGATCGGGGCCCATGTCAGGCTCCCTGCATGGAGCCTGCTTCTCCCTCTGCCTGTGTCTCTGCCTCTCTCTCTCTCTCTCTCTCTCTCTCTCTCTCTCTGCCTCTCATGAATAAATAAATAAAATCTTTTAAAAAATTGTATTTATTTATTTATTTATTTATTTATTTATTTATTTATTTATTTATTCATGGGAGACACAGAGAGAGGCAGAGACACAGGCAGAGGGAGAAGCAGGCTCCATGCAGGGAGCCCAATGCAGGACTTGATTCCAGGATCCCAGTATCACACCCTGAGCCGAAAGCAGATGCTCAACCATTGAGCTAATAAACACCCCTGATGCTTCTTAATTTCTTAATTGGCTTCATATCCCTGAGAGTACAGCCAGGACAGCGGGCTGCTGTTGACTAGGGTGAAATCTCACAGTTCTTTAAAATTCAAAGTGTGATGACCCCCCACTTGATATGCTTGAGTCTGATTTCTGTCTCACTTTAAAACAAAAGGAAAAACAGAAAGAAACTTGATGCTGGGATTGTAAAGAATCCAAGTTTTGTTAGTTTTAAAAATGTGTTTACCAAGGGCCTCCCAGACAGTGCCTGGCCAGCTCCAGGATGTCTGTGGTTGCTTTTATCCCCCCTTAAATACAGCTCACCCAGAGTTGGCTTAGAACCTTTAGATATCTTAAAAATTTGTATTCTAGCTGCTAACCCCCTCCAACCATCTCCACTTTACAGATACTTAACTCATTACCCACTATTTTAACACTGTCTGTTTTCAGGGTTGTGTGTCTTGGATTGATGGTTTCTGAGCAATTAGAAGAAGAAATTGCACCACTGGTCCTGGTCCTTCTTCTTTTTTTTTTTTTTTTTTTTTGAGGGTATTTTGATGAATTGTTATTAGTATAGATTGTATAGTAATAAGCACTTTTTCCAGAGTTTTCCTAACCGTAATGTTAATTTTATCAATGTATCTTAGTCTGCTTGGGTTGCCATGACAAAAATAAAACAGACTGTTAAACAACAGAAATTTATATCACACAGTTCTGGAGGCTGAAAGTCCAGGAGCAAGGCACTGAATGCCATAGTTCCTGGTGAAGCCCTCTTCCTAGCTTACAGACCACTGCCTCCTTGGTGCTGTGTTCATACATAGTGGAGAGAGGGGCAATGAGTTTTCTAGTGGGTGTTTCTTCTTACAAGAACACTAGTCCTATAATCTCAGGGCCCCACACACATGACCGTGTTTAACCCAATAACTTCCTTGTAGGTCCCCTCTCTGAATACAGTCTCATTGGGGGTTAGGGCTTCAACATTTGATTTTGAGAGGGCCATAATTCAGTCCATATCATAATGTATCCTGAAACCATCAGTTTACAGCAGTTTGTTTTTTGGACTCCAGGGAGGCCACATCAAAAGAGCCCTGGATTAAAAATTAAGTAAGTTTTTTATTTAGTCCTGAATTGTGTAATTTTGGGAGTCTCACTGAACTGTGTGGAGGCTCTGTTTCCTATGCTGCAAAGGGCAGGTCACAGGGCTTGATGTGGTGTTAGAAGAGAGTGGTGTGCTCATTAAGCCAACACTTAATAGATTAGAATAATATGAGACTGCCTTAGAAACTGCCAAATACAATACAAAAATTATAAAACAATAATGTGTTCTTACGGTAGTCGCTGGGAAAGAATTAGAGAACTGTATGTTGGCTCTGAATTTCCAAGCCTTAATTAAGATTTCTTTATCTTGTTCTCCATAACAGACTGTTGTGCCCTAAGGCAATTTTACTGACAAGAAATACGTAGGTATTTCAAAGATGATTTATTATTTTTACTCCACCCAGGGTACAAAAAAGGAGATATGAAGAGGGAGGGTAAAGGTATAGCTCACAATGCTCTAGGCTTGCCTGGTGGTGTGAAGGTCTAGGTAGCTTTCTGGATTCCCAGATAGGTGAATGCCTGGGAAGGGTGAGCTGTGGGAAATGCAAAAACAGAGCAGTTGATGGAACTGTTCTTTCTTTCTAAAAAGTGTTTCTTCCCTCATATATGTGTGTAGCAAAACATGAAGGAGTTGTCAGAAATGTGAATTCTTGATCCCAACCTCCAGCAAGGCAGGGGCTTGTGTGCAAGTTCTCCACAGCCATCTTAGTTTCTTCTGGAGGATGCTTGCCTTATTTATTGGTTCTAACCTGTTATTTCACATCATTTTTCTGGCTCTTATCTCAGCCTTCAGCTTATGCCATGGAGTACTTGTGTCTTCCTTCTGCTCTATATCTTTAAATCTGCTTATCTATACTGTATTTCTCTAAGTTTATAAAACATATTTTCAACTATATAATTTATACACAGTCTATATTCATGAGAAAAAAATGTCACAGTACTCTTTATCTAGTACTTCAAAATATTATAAATAGAACAGCACAATCTTCTGACAAATTGAGGATTATATGTCCACATACAACCTTTCTCTCCTACTAAAGGAAACAAGGGTGATGCCAGTAACTTGCTTTTCAACACCTTAAGTTTCAAGGATTGTTACATCTTATCTCCTTATTAGGAGGCTGCCCAGTAAGTGTGTAGGGCTAGGCACCACTTTTCCATGAATGCAGACCAAATGCTCTCTGTTGCAACTACTGAAAGCTGCCACTGTGGCGTGAAAGCAGCCATAGACAATACATGAATGAATCAGTGTGGTGTTCTAATAAAACTTTATTTAAAAAACAGGTGGTGAAGGGCACCTGGGTGGCTCAGTTGGTTAAGCATCTGACTCTTGATTTTGGCTTGGATCATGACCTCAGGGTTGTGAGACTGAGTCCTGCATTGGGCTTGATCTGAGTGTGGAGCCTGCTTGGGATTCTCCTCCCCTCCCTCTGCCCCCCACTCCATTCCCTCTCTCTCTCTCTCTCTCAAAAGAGAGCCTAGTCCACAGGTTTTAGTTTGCCAAATCCTGCTCTAAGGAATCAATGTTCCCTCTCTGCAGTATTTTCTATCAATCATATTTCTCTTCCTGTTCTAGGAGAACCCACATTATGATTTTATGGATGAGGAATTCTGTGACTTACATGTAATGCAACATACTAGACGTTTAATCATCCTCATCTTCATTACTTTTAATACCTTGAATATTTAAAATTCTGTTTTTCTTTGATATAAGTTGTCCTATGCATATAAATAGACAAAAAGCCACAGCCTTTTTTTTGCTGTTGTTGCAGGCGTGCAGTGTTTCAGCACTAGTTCCAGAACTCACAATTACTTTAGGCTATTTATATAGTTTCATGTTGAGACCATTTCAAGCTTAAATGACTTTTGCACATATTGAGATCCAGGTTAAATCATTTCAATTAAAAGAGTGATAGCTTCTGGAATTTCAAATTCACAAGGCCATTTATGCAAATATATTACATACAACATTTATTAAAATTATTTAGTGAAATCTCTTCAAGCAAGAGAGGTACAAAGTTGTATGTGATCACAATAATGAGTAAAAGATACAATGTTAAAATACAGGAAAAACTCTGAAACCAGTCTCTGAAGTCCTAATAATTCATAAGGTAATTGAAGGAAATGCACATATTTATCATGGAAAGTAAGAT